GCGCGTCCTCTTGAGAAGCGACCCTTGTCGTAACCTGAAAAAAAGAATCAAGCTCTTCCGCGTTGTTGATTTTTCGTTTTATGAGTTGGCTTGTACGAGAAGGTAAAAGTGCCCTAAGGCTTTGCCTTGATAGTTTTATTATAGGGTTAAATTTAATAATATTAATTTGGTAAGGCATTACGTGAATTCATCTAATTACTGTTTGATCTATCAAGGATACATTTACCAATCAAACATTAGAGGAAAACGTGAGTGACGTGAATGTTGTTCGGTATTAAATGTAAATGCTAATGAACGTAATTTATCATCCGCATAAAGCTGATTTCCTTGACGTTGATTATATAATACCAATTCAAAGGATAAGTTTCAGAATGATTTTCCGCCCCAGGTTAATTACTTCTGGTCACGTTTAATTGGGTTTCATCTCAGTTACAAATTAAACACAAAATCATAATGACGTTATACTATTTTCATTACGTTGCTTGATAAGGTTATTCATTTTTATTAGATTTCTTTTATATTTGAAACTGTCTAGTTTATTTTTTCCCAAGATAGATTTTGGCATTGTCAACTTTGAAACATAAACAATGCCGCTAATGCCGCTTATTGGTCGCTCTTATAAAACTGATGTCAATCTACAGAAACACCTCATTTTGCGACCAATCAGGGTCAAGCGTTATTGTTTATGTTTCAAAGTTTTCAATGTCAAAATCTATCTTGGGAAAAAATAAAGTGTACAAAGATTTTCATAGACGTGATAAAATTGATTATTTTGAGTTCATTTAAAACATCTGTCGAATACTCTGTCTATTTTAGAGGAAAAAAATTTCTAGTCTATCGAATAGATCATTTATTAAAAATTAATTCTAGTAATTTGCCCATACAATTCACATATTTGCGGTTCCCATGCGTACAAATTCAAATCCTCCAAATTTGGTTTATTTCATATCAGAATTACTGAATAATAAATTTCCATTTGCTGTGTCTCCCTCTCCCAAATATTATTTTGTTTATACTCAATTAATATATTAGCGCTCGCTTTATGCGACAAAATTAAATCCTTTTAAATTTATTTATAAAACCGTTCCATTGCGACAATGAATTTTCTCTCGTTTGCCATTTTAACGCGCTAATTTAATTAATATTTTAATTCAGATTTGTTATGTCCATTTTAATTGTATTTGAGAATGAAAAATAGAAGGAAATCTTTATTTAATTTTATCTTGGATGGTACAATTTATTATTGCATTGAGGAAAGAGCAGCTTTTTTGTATAAATTTTTTAGTTCTTACTTAACATAAATAAAATTCCACAAAGAGTGTATTCGCGATATTTGGCACTAAAAAATAAAGAATCTATATTTGGAGCTGTTTATATCTTCAAAAGTAGGTGCTGTAAGTATAGAAAATATACCACTGGATAAGAGTTACGATCTGAACCAAGTTTGAGCTCTTACCGTTATTGGCCCTAAATTGTATTGCTCTTCTTCTGCCCGTTACGTTTTTTTACCCGTCCGGATTTTATTAGGTCATAATCTTCCATTTAATGTGGTTGTTGCCTCACAACCTCGATTCCGTCATAGAAATTATTTTATGACACTTTTGCAACTTTTGCCATTCCGCTGTTATTCTCTTAGTCGTAATACTGCACCAGATTATTCGCAATATAAAATGATATGTCTGTGAAAGATTACCATATTTTTGGGAGCCTATTTTGTTTGCAGTCTCAAATAAGATTGCAAAAAAAAATTGTTCATAATATAATATTTCAGAAACAATTAAACTCAGTCACTCGCCTGATTTTTTTTATTTCGGATATTTTTCAGTGTAGAACCTGTATGCTGTTTAGAGAAAACAAATTTGTAGCTAGCGATATCGATCGAATGCGAACTGGATTTTCTTTTCATTGGCTTACAAAGCATAATTTCTCGTTTGCCTAATTTAGCAGTTTCCTTTAGCATTGAATTTGTAATTACACAAAAATATAAAAACTTACAAAGCAGTGCAAAAGATTCTTTATCAAAAAATAAAAAATTATACATGTATAAAGTAACCAATTCCTAAAACAGGAGGTATTTAACCCCTTGTTCCATTATTTGCTGGATTATCTGCTCTAGCAGCGCTAGGCGGGGGTGCTGCTGGTATAGCGAAAGCAGTAAATGACGCTAAAGCTGCCAATGAAAAGTTGCAAGAACAAAAACGACACAATCAAAAACTTTTAGAAAACTTAAGCGTTGGAAGTGGTCCTTATTTGAAACCCTACAAAAAAGGATGCAGTCTATTTTTTAAACTAAGAAACTGCTGAACATGTTACCACGTAAACCTCTACCTTGTAAAGTGTATGATGTCACGAAAATAATATATTTTTGTTTGTTACAGGTGCACTTAACGTACTAATTTATTGGAACAAATTGGTAAGTACTTTCAAGATGTCCTACCAAATAAAAGTGTTGAATGGTGCGGAATTTTTTACTTTGGCATATTCGTTCAATAGGTAATAATCTATGTTACATTTTGTCGAGTTCAAAATTTAACTATTCTGTAAAGATTCTTATTCGCATTTATTCGACAAAATATATTCAAAGAAAAATAAATAAATCTTCACGAACTTGTCATTTATTGCTGTTCAAAAATAACCAAGAATTATGAAGTTTGTTAATCAATTGTACGAGTAATTATGTATCTGTATTTGTAAGTTTGGGAGGGTGGTATGGTATGCCACAGCACTTAGGCCACATTAGACCCATTGTGCGCTTCTACAAGAAAAGAGGTCATCCTTAGCTTGTCATCCAGTCTACCGATTCAACGTGGGCAATGACGTTGCCGAGGGCGGCGCCTCTGATCTCTTCTAGCGATGGGTACGATTGGCCTAATCTGGCTGTGCGTATTGACGAAAGAGCAGTGCAGTCACAGAGAATGTGCTCTATCGTCTCGTCTTCTTGATTACAAGCCTTACACAAGGATGTGGTACTGAGATATAACCTAAACAAATGTTTGTTCAACTGACAGTGGCCAGTCAATATTTTCGGTATTAGACGTAGCATTTTCCTGGTCAACGACAGATTCTGGTTCCGTGTAGCTTTATCTGGGTAGCTTAGTAGTTCCTGAGATAAGTTTCAGCCAGTTGTATCATCCTAGCACTTTTTGAAGAGGGTATGGGAGCGTTTTTTATCATAGTTTTGGCCGCCGACATAGTCAGCCCTACGAAGGGCTCCAGTCCAGAAGGCTGTAGCCTGGCGGCCCTTCTACCTAGAGCATCGGCAACCCGATTGCCTCTGCTGTGATCATGTCCTTTGATCCAGCTAACTACCACCGTGTTGTTGATCGACGCTTCGGTGAGTGTACGGTGGCAATGTTGTACTAGTTCTGACGTGATTCGCGGTCTACATAGCGCTAGTACTGCTTGTCTGCAGTCCGTGTGGATGTGCACGATCTGTGTGATATTGTTGTTGACTATTCGTTAGGCCGCGATGGTTATGCCAGTAATTTCCGTTTGGAGAACATTAGGTATCATCAATCGAACAACAAGACAAACCTAAGTCGTATTTTACAAACATGCACACACACCCTCACACAATCTCACACTATTATAAATATATATATTTCAAGTTTTTTTTACATTTTACCTATTTTATACTATAACCACAGCACATACAAAAACAATCAGCAGGCTAACTTGAGTGACAGCCCATGTAATATAGGAATTCATCGACGAAATGTCACTAGCAGCCATTTTGGGATAAGAAACAGGGCCTGATTAACGATAATTTAGGTTTTTTTCTTTCCTGTCACAGATTCGTATTGGCTTTAAATAAACTGATTTATTATTAGTTACATAGTTACATATAATAATATTTAAAATTACTAATTTATTATTATTATTATTAAATATACAACAATGATAACAGATAACACTATAAATGACAACAGGAATATACTAAAATCACTTCGAAAATCATAACTAAAATTCCGCTCTACCTCCGTCAGAAATAAACAAATGTAATCAAACTTTGGCGCCCCTGCCGTTTAATGACAGGATGGTATCCCCTAATGGCGGCATGCGCGTGAGAGTTAGCCTGCTGATTGTTTTTGTATATGCTGTGCTATAACTGCATATTATAGCACCTATACCAGTCTAAACTATTTTCAATCATTCTGTCAACATTTTTTAAAATGTATATGTTTGTACACATAATTTTAATAAGATCTACATCATGTAGGTACTGCTAGAACTCAACTTTTACTAGTAAGTAGTAATTTTTGTTATTATTATTTTTTTAAATTTATTTAAGTATAACTGAAGAAGCTATAAAGTATATAGCGAAAGCCTTACCCCCACTAACAGCTACACACATTAAATAAAAGATAGAAATGATAATGTAATTTTCTGAAGATGGTATACTTTGATTCCTCTATGATTTTTCTCTTTTCAAACCTGAATATGTCCATTTTTTTTATAGTCTTTTTTTCATATTATGCTTCTGAGATACTCACCTTACGTCAACTTGAAAGTCTGTAATCTCTAGTAAAACAGAAAAATTCTTGTCGCGTATTTTACAAGACACATACTAGATATATTCTTTGAAATATAGTACAAAAATCCTCTTTTATAAATCACAGGCCATTTGAGACAAAAATAGATCTTACCTTTTCAATGTATATATACTTCAAAGTGAAACTATTTAGCTATATTTTTCACATCATATTGGTTAGATATTATTGTAGAGCTCATGAACAGCTTTTGTTTCGTTGTAGGTTTCTAATTTGAATAATTTTCAGAAAAAAAAAATACAAAAACACAAACATCGTGATTTTGTACCATTTTCAAAGCAAAAACTGTTCGTGAAATGTAAATTCGCGCCAACTACATAATGGAAAAAAATCCCATTTGATGCGGTTATACTCTTAATAGAAAAAAGCTTTATTAGACTAAATGTGACATAGATTATTGAATAAAATATGACATTAATGGCAGTGATAAGTTTTCCACCGTTTTCCTACCTTAGTTTTGAATATAGTCCGCAGCATGGAACATAAAGGGTCGAAAAAATGTGACAAGTTTGACAACAAGGCGTAAAATAACTTGTGGCGCCCTGTGCTTGATCAAACACAATTTCTCCACATTATTTGTTGTCTAGTCAACAGCCTATTCATTAGTTGGTCGTTTTAGTAAATTGTAAGGTTCTCAAATTCTGTCGCTACAAGTGTTTGTTGTAATTGCTTCCTCTCTCCCTTCAAGCGGTACCATGCAGCAGGCAGAGTATCTGGATGTGCTTTTGCGTACACCGAACCCTTACCAATATATTTAACTAAATCTATACAGGCCAGTTATAGAGAGCGATTTTGTTCTCTGGATTCCACTCGCATTTGTCTTGCACTGAAAATCTTGTCAGCTGTACCTCGGTTGGGTCTAAAGTCACACTGTGCCTCTAGGAGATTGTGTTCGTTAGACGATTTGATATTATATTGGCATATATCTTTCTCGCAATAGAATGTAAAGGTATTCCTCTGTAGTCATCACAGTGAGCCTGGTCTCTCATTTTAAAAATGGTAACTATGGAGGCATCTCTAAGTCCGGCTGGTCAGGTCTCAGTAATCCATAATTTACTCATTAGGATGTTGGTTTGGGCACTCAGTGTAAGGCCTCCTTCTTTAAAGAATTTAGCAGAAATGCAGTCAGTATCAGCTGACTTATTGTTCTTTAGTTTTCTGGTCTGTCATTTCAATCTTTTCTAAACTGGGAATCTCGCTCAGTTCTTTTGTATTGCTTTTGTGGAATTTCATTGAAGTTGTCATTATTAATTTGTGATTCTCGGTTAAGTAGTACTTGAAAGTGTTCTTTACATCGAGAATTAATGGGAGCAGTTTTGTGCCATCTTTGGACTGTAGGTGAGGGTTTGAGTCATTGAGTGGTTGGTTCGTTTACCACCTTAGTAGCCTGAGGGAAGGCCCTGGTACTGGATTCAGCCAGTTGCTGCATTACGTTTAATTTTATCATGCACCATTGGTTTTATTATGCTCGCGTTTGCCTTTCAATGTCTGCTTTTGCGTGTTGGTATTGCCTTCTTAACAGTTGAGCTGAAGTCTCTTTTCCATGAATATGCCCTTTTGTTTTTCCATGTATAAGGTCGTAAGTCTATAAATAGCTTATGGAGGCTTAGATCTCCCAAAAGCCACTTCTAGTTTTGAATGTTGACACATAACATCATGGATGGATATACCTAATTCTTCATATAACAGTAAGAAATGCCAGTAGTCACCAGCAACAAATTCATCTTTGAACTCAAAATATTAAAGGAAATGTTTCCATCTGAGTGCTTTTGAGCCGATTCAAGAGCGCGAGCCTGAATTATAACATCTTTCAATTCAGGAGCCTAGTTTCTGATAAATTTGGGATGAGTATCGCGAATAAAGCTACTCAGCTGTAACTGCTTTAGAATTACAAAATTGGTAGTGTCAGGAACTGGAACACCTCAGGGCGACGACAAGAAAAGCTTTCAATAAAACTAAAAACACCAAACTACCTGAGGATTGGAACTTTTATAGCTATCAACCTAACTAGTATATAAAAATCGTACGACAAAAACAAAGAGATGCCTGGAGGGCATACTGCAACGACATAGAAAACTATAGGGAAGCGGTGAGACTTCAGAAAGCTCTTAATGAAGAACCATTTCGGGAAATTGGCATCCTGTGCAATGAGGATGGCACCTTCCTGTCCATCAACCCCAAAAATACTGGAATGGTCCTATTCACAAGATATAGGAAACTGGTACTTCCGACAGCACCCAGACTCTTAAACACCGAACTCAGTTTTGCCACCGAGGTCAAATATCTGGGAGTGACACTCGATTGCAAACTAACATGAAACTCTCATATTGCTAAGAGAATACATAAAGCATATATCGCCTATGAACAGTGTAGACGTACTATCGGTCAGGCCTAGGGATTCTCCCCCAAGGTAGCTATGTGGATCTATACAACCTTCATCAGGCCTATATGGGGCTATTGTCTGCGGAAATAAGGCCAAACAGACTACTGTAAGCCAAAAACTAGACCACGTTCAAAGAGTGACATGCCTCAACATAACTGGTGCAATGAAAACCACACCAACTAGGGCTTTGAAAGTAATGTTTGACGCCCCTGGATATTTATATCAAGGAGGTCGTTTTAACCACAATGATGTGCTTCCGCACTGTTGGAATAGAACCAAGTGCAGAAGTCGGTCTGCAGAGAGCCCGTATATGGTGAGGCAACAAACTCGCTTCCATTATTGGAGGCCAGAGTGGACTCTGCAACACCATGTTTCGTCTTCAAAAAGCACTACGCAATCAACACGAAAGGCGTTGAAAACAAAACAGTGGCAGGCGTAAGTAACATCCACACTGATGGTTCCAAAAGTCAAACAGGATATGGATGCAAAGTATACTCCAAAGCTCTTTATCTAAACCTAGCTATAGCCCTTGGCTCCATGCCTATCTATGTCGAGTAAATTAGAAAAAATAATACTTAAATTTTGCATATCTGTTTTTTTGTTTAAAGAATGTTCTTGTTTAATGAAACTTGAAAAACATCTCTTTGATAAATTTGATCAGTTGCCAAAACAGTTAAATTTTTAAAATCCATTGAGTGACCAGTTTGATGAACATGTTGGGTAAGAGCACAAGCATAAGGTTTAATACGTATGTCACTTTTATGTGATGTTATTCTTGATATTAGATTTCTTGATGTTTGCCTATATAATTTTCATCGCAACTTAAACAACTTATTTTTTGAACTACATTGGATCTTTGTTCTTGTATTGTTTTGTTTTTTAATTTTGAAAAAAATGTATTAATAGTTTTTATAGTTTTATTAGCAAGAAAGATATTATTATTTTTGATTACATGGAAAAATTGTGATGTTAACTCTTTCGTGTAAGGAAAAGCAATATATTTCTTAAATTCTGTATTATCATTAGGAATATTGTTATTATTAGGTAAGTTGATCGAGATTCTAGTTGAAAAAAGAAGTGTATTCAATAAACTTTCTGTATAAGAATTCTCAAGAAATAATGTTTTAAAAATTTTTAACTTTTTTTCTTTTAATGTTGGATGACATATCGTCGCCCTAGTTGTGAATGGTCGTAATCCACTCAAGGTAAGTTGTGAGTAATCTGCATTTAAAATTTTTGTTTTTGGTGAAAATATGCTTTTTAATTAGCAAATATACTATAACAAGGTCAAATATTGATCACTAGCTTAGATCTATTCACCAACATAAAATTTAAATATTTTTAAGTATGTTAACAGCGAGGTTAACAGTCACAACTTGTTACGGGATGATTTTTCCTGGGTTAAAATGAAAGGAAATAAGCATATTCGCCTCAATGAATAGCATACCTTCGTCAAGCCACTGTTGTCTTTTCAATAGTTGTGGCCAAACTTTTCATCAAACTTTTAATTTTTCCCAGAATCATTAAGTTAGAGGTTTATTAAGGGAATTGATTTTCTGTTAGTAGGGTTAAAATAAATAGACAATTAATTTATTAATAAAACAAAATCACAATATTTACACTAGAGATTGTCTGATCGGAGTAGATTGACTAGATTGACAGCGCTCCAAATAGAGTCAATGACCGGTACTAACTTAATTTGAATAAGTACCATGCCCCAACTATTATCAAAATCCCCAGTACCTTCCACCTTGGAGTTTTGACAGAACCTTTTTTAAAGGACATTGCAGGGACAATCAGAGGTCATTCAGGTCGAGGACTTTCCACGATTAAGTGTTCGGGAAAACTCCTCAGGCACATTTTGCCGATTTCTGAGTTGCCAAGTTTCGCTCATAGATCTAGGGTGGCTAATCCGCTATTTTAGCACCCAATCGCCTTGTGCAGATTTGTTTGTGAGTCGAAAAATAGCAACGTGGTCAATTATTTGTTCCTAAAGGCCAAAAGTGATTTTGGTAAGTGGTTTTTCTTATTAGTCTTCTCTGTGTTTCTCTATTGCCTGTGTAACAGCATAATTTTCTGTTAATAATATGGTTGAATTCCGAATATCGGACATACCTACCTATTGCTCCACGCCCTGTTTCATAACGTCCATTTGTTTCAGGCCTTTAATCTTCACCTTTAGACGTTACGTTTTAATTGTCACCCCTTTTGTTCGTCACGCTTAGTCCTTAACTTGAGTAAAGAGTTATACGTTGAGCTTGCTGTGTGTTTCGAGTAGTACCTCCAATCTTCAGCCTCCTCTAGACCATTAGAAGCTTTAGTGAATCCTAGTGACTGAACTTCAGTGCCCAGGGCCAGTGGCTTCTTGTTGCGGCCCTGATCCAGTCCCAGGCCATTGGAAACACTGGAAGATATTGATCTCACCTGTCAGGTTCTCCCCAAGAGATTAGGGACTACTTAGGTTTGATAAGTGTGTTGTATTGTCCTAGTATCAAACCTTGCCAACCCCTTGTTGGAGTAAAACACCACAACAACGCAGATTTACTACCTTAAAAATTATCCTTCAGATTATGTGTTGCTATTTCAATTTTTAATTAATTATATCACCTTTTTTTATGAAACTTGCCATCCAGGTTATGTATGATTAGGTACTTCAATTTTATTAGGTATCTAGGTATCTATACTACCTATATTGTTACATAATATTAAAGCCCTTCAGGTTACGTATTGTTACTTCCACTTTGATTAATGCTGCACTGAATACAGGTAAATACTTGTACACTGGGGTTAAATGGCCATTTACGAAGGTACTGCATTTAGTGAGCTTGTATATTGATCATTTATATTTCAGGTATTATTGCTGTTGTACGGTACTCTTTACTTTAAGGGACTCGAGTTAATTTATTGTATTTACTATTTTTAGAGTATATAGGTTAGGTACTTCTAGTTTTTAGGCGATTTCTTTTCTTCTCCGAACCTGCTCTGGAGTCAACCCCATTCTGTTCGAGTTTTAATTAAAGACCCGTACCTGATTGTAGCAAAGCGTTTCACTTTTTTTTCCTTCTTCTTGTGTATATTTCAGGTTGTGCTGCTA